ATAAATTCCTTCCACCTGCCCAATCTGACCTGTGCAGGGTGTACCCAGAGTGGAGATTAGGTCATCTGTAATCAGATTTAACTTGTTTAAAATGAAAAGTAAACACAGAAATGCTTTCAACAACTATATTTACTGAATAGCAGTGAACAAAAAACAATTGGAACATGATAAATACAATAAAGAAAACATATAATTTGAATTCACTTGAATTATTTGTGCAAATTTTTTTTCTCTGTCCTACTTATGTTGGACCTCACATCGGCTTTTGACACTGTTTCCACCACATCCTCCTTGAAAGTCTTAAACATTGGGTTGGTGTATCTGGAACTGCCTTAGAGTGGTTCTCCTCATATCTACATCACCGTTAAATCCTCTATCAGGGATTTAGGTGTCACTTTTGACTCGACTCTTACATTGGACGGGCACGTGAATTCTCTGGTTCGGTCTTGTTTATATAATTTAAGGAATGTGGCTAAGCTAAGCCCTGTTTTATCTCTGAACTGGAGATTGCTGTACATGCATTTATTTCCTCACACTTGGACTATTGTAACTCTTTGTTTATGCGTCTAAGCAAAGGTTCTCTGGATCGTCTGCAGGTTGTGCAAAACGCTGCAGCGTTCACATGTGACACCATTGCTATCTCAGCTACACTGGCTTCCTGTTGAATTTAGAGTCCATTTGAAGTTCCTGGTCTTGACATTTAGAGCCTTGCATGGACTGGCACCAGCCTACATCGCTGATCTGCTACAGCCCGATGTCCCTAGCAGGTCCCTGAGGTCATCTGATCAGGGCTTACTTGCTATAAAACAGACTAAGATGAGAACTAAGGGTGACAGAGCTTTTGCCACTGTGGCCCCGAGACTGTGGAACCGTAAGAACTGTGGACTCAGTAGTTGTTTTTAAAAAACAACTCAAAACTCACCTTTTTAAAACAGTTTTTCATAAAATTTGTGCCTGTTTTGTATTGTCTGTTTTACCTTTTATTATTTTTTTTATCTTATGTTCATCACTTTGTGACTCTGTCTAAAAAGGTGCTATATAAATAAAAACAATTTTTTCACATTTATTTTATGTTGGTGTGAGTCTCTGCATTGCTGACATTTATGGTAGCACAAGTTTCTTTTTCTCTATTTTCAGTTTCACTCATAGAGAAACTGAAAATACTTCCACTGTTCATGTGGAGTGGAGCAGAAAGGAGGCCGATGTAATGAAGATACTTTCTATTGAGTCTATGGCAACTGATGATATTAATGCAAAGCAACCTGTTCGATGGGTGTCGAGGCCAAAATAGCAAAGAAAAGAGAGAGAGAGAGAGATGTAGGGAGAAGCCAATGGGAATCGACTGTAGTCAACATAAATTTCTGCAAACACGCTAAACACACAGATAGCACATCAAGCATGAAACACCTTTAAACTGCAGACGCGCAGAAACAAATGAAAGCATTTCAGTATTCAGTCCAGATTTTGTGCATTCATAAAAAATGATAAACGAGCAACCTTACACCTACACTACGCTGTAGGTTTCACTCAGAGTGAAACCTACAGCCTGATGCCTGCATAGAAACCCACAAATAGCAGTTGGATCACACTCAAATCAGTTGTGGTGTGAAAATGAATTCTAATGAAATGACCTCCTCAGCCAGTGCAGAGAGCAGTTTTGCATGTTTGCAGACTGTGTTTATACTTTGCTTTTCAAAATAAAATAAAAAAACGCTACTAAATCTTTTGCGCTTTTTTTGTTTGATTTCATTCATTTCTAATGTGTTCTTTGAAATCCCCCAGCTGCTTCGATGCTCTTCCTGTGCCAGCCTGGCAGAGCATTGTTGTGGTCCACCATGTTCTACATAGAGCTAACTAGGCCACAGAAAGACATGCGTTGCTGTTAATCATTTGTCTCTTATGGTAATGACTCTGAAAAGAAGAAAAGACGCACACCTTTGAAGTCTTATTAGGTGTATAATTTGATTTTTATGCAGTCATTGTTTAAATCAGTTTTACGTTTGTAAAGTGTAGTTTTGTTGCTTTTATTATGACTCATTTCCTGTTATGTATACATATATCTTACTCTGTGCTAGAACTTTGCCAGTTTCTCACGGCAGCTTTCCCTCATTGCTACTCAGTCTGCTTCTGATGTAATGATGTTAGCCAACATTTCACATTTGAATCCTCTTTTATAATCGTCTTCACAGTTTCCTTATCTCACAGATACTGACCCACTCCTGCAGACGCACTCTTCTCCCCTGACACTAACATATTATTGCTTTTGTTAAAAGCAGCATGTAATGATTTCCTAACAAGAGTCTGAGCATTGTCCTGCGAGCTGTGCAATGCAGTGCAGTCGTGTGATAGTGAACACTAACTATCAGTGAGCTGATTGTCGTCCCAAAAAACTGAGGACAGAGACTGGTCCTTGTTACTCTCTGAAAAATCAGGTTTCTAGATCAGTGGTTTCCAAATGATGTGCCTGGATTCAGTTCCACGTGTGCGATTTTTTTTCTTTCTTTCTTTTTTTTTTCTTTTCTTTTTTTCATGATGGTTGGATCAGAGTCCTCCTGGTGGTAGACGGCAAACAACAGGAGTCAATTTTGGCCTTAATGAGATTCAAAGTGTTGGCATAAATTTTTTGGTAGGGTATCGCATCCAAATCATTATCTGGTATTAAAGAGACCAAAGTGTGTCATCAAGTATTTCCACCTCTACCTGTCGAGTCTTGGGCTGTCCA